AAATGATCATTGTCGACAAAGACAATGTAAATCACTATTTACAGAACATTTACATGCAGTACTAAAAGCTGTAAATTTCCTGTAAATTTATTTTACAAAACCCTAACATGTAAATTGTAATTTACAAAGAATGTAGATCAATATTTACATGCTGTAAATTAAAATTGACATGTCCATGTAAATTTTCAACTTTTCCAGTGTTTGACACCCCTTGGAAATGTTTCCACATTTCTCTGGTTTTAGTTTGAAAACAGCTAAACGAACAACTGGCATTACCAAATTCGCCTATATTTCTAGAATCCAGACATCATGGGAGTAAACAACTTATCCGCACGTGGAAGAGTGACGTTTTTTTGCTTTAAAGAAAACTCATATTACGAAGGCAAGTTAATTTTCAATACAGTTTCATTTGACGAATCTTCGTGAGATGTCTTTTCAACTAGAGACCAGCAGTATTACTCCATATACGTGTCACCGTGATGTAAATTATCACTGCGAGGAAGCCGTATCTCTGTCTTTATTTATTAAACACGTAGTGGTATATTATTGGCAAATTAGTTGGGCACCGGGAGAGAAAAAAAAAAAAAGGCAAAAAAGCACTGGTAAGTTTTCGGTCAGAGTTATTCTTGCTAAAAATGGAAAATGAAAAGGAGTGCTACCAATATTTAAGCTAATAACAATTTCCCGAAAATGGAAATCGCACTCGCATCTGTGGATGGAGCGATCGTTTCGTGAATGAATTTGACAAACCTGTGAATTAGAAGTGTCCCCACAATGGCTTTAACACAGGAGTCAGTTGTGTGTACAGTGGATCGGATTTCATCAGGACCAATGGTAAATTGTTTAGTCTTTTAAATAGCACCTGGAAGAGGTTATCTTTACAATAACTGAGAGGTTTTCTGGAATTCATTAAAGTGCATGTACGCAGTATTATACCACGAATTGCCGAATGCTGCATGTTTCTGGATAACACGACACGGATTTTTATCAAAAGCATTTCACAGTTAGGTCCTTGAAGAAGAAAAGACGTGCAATTTCAATACCCAACGTTTTTATTCCATGCAATGTTAAATTACTTGCGCATGGTCAAGACTCATGGTGTCAGCTTTTTCCTTGATCTAATGGATCATGACTAACCCGACTACCAACAGTTTTTATTCTCTTTCTAAAAAAAGAGTTGTTTTTTTAGATTTAAATTCCGTCGTTGTCATGTGAGTGGTGTCACAGAGCATTTCTGCAAAACGACCTCTTATCAGAACAACTTGCACGAGAAAGTTCGTTCCCAGGTTCCCAGGGGCTTCTTCTTGGTCGGGGTTATCAGTGTTCATGATGATATTTACAAGTAAACATTTTCTCCTTTGTCAGTGTAACTTACGGTGAGGAGGTTTGACCCTGAGTAGAAATACAACCAGATTTACAATCAGTGTTATCGGGGGACGGAGAGAGGGGGGGGGGGGAATTTATTGGTTTCAAATAAAAGGAGCCAACCTATTGAGTCGCCCAAAAGGGCCAAAAGTTTAGGAAATTCACAAGAAAAAGTTAACCTGTTCCTATTCACTTAACGTTTCCGTTACTTTTTTCATCTTGGGGATCGTCGCTATAGATTTATAATCTGTCAATTCGGCAGGGTCTAAGGGAAATGAAAATCCTTTCAAATCAAGCACGAACTCAACAACGAACAAGACGGGAACGCTCTAAATAAGTGCGGAGACTATAAGGGAACCATTGAAAGCTTTTAAATGTAAATTAAGGGAAAGGTAATGTGTTCTGCTGAGTGAGGCTCTATGGTGATAAAAAAAAATAAAGAACTTTGGAATACTGATGACTGTCGCTTGTTTTTTAATAACACGAAGGAAATTTAAGGACGTTCCCGCTTATTGTTTCTGTGCATCCTTACTGTGCACGTAAATTTACATGCCACGTCATGCATCGAGCGCGCGCTAAGTAATAAAATGAAAAATGATAGGGTAGATGGCCATTTGAATAGCTGTGCCTGGATGTAACGATCTTGGACGTCCGGTGGCGCTATTTTTCTTTTGATGGATAATTTTCTCTATCGATTTTCTACGTTTAGCGAAAAAAATGAAGAAAAGCTATCGATTAGAAGTTTGAATTTTTTGCAAAATGCACCATCGAACTTCGAATTCAGTTCTTTTTAGCTCTTCGTTTATCTGTGCGGCGGTTTCAAATGCCTCTTGAAGGGTTAAGTTTTGTGAAAACGTTGGCAACACTTGGATTTATTAACGGAATTGATTCACTTATACAAAATATTAGTAGTATAGTTTGTTTCCGTTGATTAATTTTTGATATTGTAAGCTGAAAAAACTGGAGACCACGCTGATATACACGCGCCAATTTTTCAATATCAAACTAGTTTAGTGAGTGCGTTTTATTCCATCAATAAATTATAAGCAGTTTCTACCTGTCCAGGCCTAAACTAAAGCAGATATGGCATCTTTCATTCTGAAAGGCTTGGTTACCCATGATGGCATTGACCGTTTACGAAACGGAAATGAGCGTTGGCGTCGTGGTTTGCTAAAGCTCCCCATTAACCAATCGATATCGTAACTCGCTCCCACGCGTCTACGTGTATTAGCTTGTATTTGCTTGAGGTTTTAATTGGTTCACTGGATTGCCTGTATCCTTTATGATTGGCCATAGTGATCAGTATGGTGTTGGCATAATTCTACGTTCTCATACGACGGAAGGAGTTTGTGCACCGGCCAACAACTAAACAGACAACGTTAATCGGAATCTTTATGTTTAATACAATTCTTTATATGCCATCCATCCTTTTTTCGCTTATATTGTATAGCGCTGCATAAATCTATTATTATTATTATCATTATTATTATTATTTCTTATAAAAACTGTTATTGTGTCTTAAAAAAAATTGTTATTTAGGATTTTTAAAAGGTTTTGTGTACAAAGAAAAAAAAATGCCTTACCATTCTTTAACTTGTGTAATGGCCTACATGTGAATATGTAAAAGCCAATATATATTTTAACTGCGTAGAAAGATATGAAGACATGATTGATCATCGCAGTTATACACACAGCTTAAGTAGTTGTGAAATAAAAACCTGAAAAAAAATTCAGGCCTGAACGGGATTCGAACCCATGCCGGTGCAGAGCTCTACCAAATGAGCTTTCAAGCCAACTGGGAGCTGGTCACCATTTGTGAGTGCGTAATATACCCGTAGATGGTGAAGTATGGCGTTTCTAACATTTCTGTTTGTTTTCTGGACCGTGTCTTTCTTATAATGATATTGTTATATTTTAAAATAAAGCTACTGTGTAATATACTTAAAGTGTGCATTACTTTTTTTTTAAAGATGCACAACAGGAAATTATAGAGCAGTGTGTTCCGCATGTTGTGTTGCCAGCGCAGTCCCTTCTCAGATGTAAATGTTTTTGCTTTTTCATGTCACATTCTACATAAAGGGTATAACCAAAAACCAGATGGTGTTTCTATGTTTTCTAAGAAAATAATATGCTTTTCTATCAATCTACATTGTATAAATCTGATTTGGAATGACTCCTTTTCGGCTTACATCAGATGTACTTCTTTAGTTTTGTCGATAGGAAGAAGAAAAAATGACACAGTTATGTTACGTTTTTTCAAAGGAGTCTATTGCTTCCAGCATTTCTTTTCGTAGACTCCTTATCATTTTCGCTGATTTTTCGACTGGGTATTCGATTTATTGTACTACTAATGTTGTATAATTTCGCATGCATGTGTGAGGGTCTCAACTGGGTTAACCGTTAAAGTGGAAAATCGTAGTCGTTAACAGTAAAAAAATATTAACCATTAAAAATGTTTGGCCACGAAAGTGAAAGTCTCTAGACTTATTTGTGTTTTGTCTTGTGGCTTGTAAGCTATATTAGTCTACGATTATATTTTTAACTTTTTCAAACAAAAATG